ACATTTGCTTAACAAGCCATTGATCTTCCAAAACGATTCATCGAATCCAGAGACACTTTGCTTATCAAAAACTACAACTTTCAAGACCTCTGTGTCCTCAGCAATCTCCATGAATCCTTTGCAGCTGTAACAAGAACATCACTACAATCAAAAGGTGAATTGATGTTGGTTGGTGAGTCTTTGTGCACTTTCCACAGGCCTTCTGGTAATCCTGACAAGAATCTGACAAATGCCAAGGTCTATTGCTTGGCATTCTCAGAAGCACCAAGGTAGCAGCTACTGGGGTGTATCCAAGTCAACCAAATTCCTAGCAAATTCAAGCCATGCTGGACTTGAACAAACTGATATTCTGTTCCTGAGAAATGAGTAACAAACTTCCAGTGCATGTAACTTTTATCAAATTTGAAACGGACAGGGTTGCAGTGTTGGGATGGTTATGACTTATGAGCTCAGAAGCACGGTTGCAAACACACGACAGGACACTACACGAACACAGAGAGAAGTTTCTTTTCAAAAATAAGATGCAGATGGGTTGGGGACACGACACGTCTATAATATAAAAGCAACAGTCGCTGAATAAGCTATTAAAATTGCAATTGGACCTACTAACATGTCCCCATAAAGTTACAAGGTAGCTTGACTTAAGTACATATCGTGAAAAATTCTAACTATTTGGTCTCCGACAGATGTTCGGAGTATGTCCAAACATGACCGATACGGACGCTAATACGTGAGGTGGTGGACTTGGTCCGTTCTTCTTAGGTTACGAGGCAACCTGAACCAAATTCAGAATGTAGAACGCCAAGTAAACTACCTGTCTATCCAGAAATTCCCGTCAGTAAAAACCAAACCCACTCACTAGTCACTACCAGCTGCTAATTCCCAAAGAAATAGCCTATTTGGCTTGCCCTATGTTTCTCATATTTAATTGGACACACCCATTACACCATGTGCAAAGGCTTTTCCCAATGATTAGAGCTCACTCCCAAGGCCCAAGGGAATTCAATTACAATGATAACCGCATCAATATTCCTAAACATTTCATCTTATGAAATTTTTTTGACGGCAGAGACGCTTACCATTTGTTCACACCAAGAAATTAACGTATACACCATGTTCATTTTGGGTCTCTAGACCCAACCTTTTCTCTCTGTGCATGGTCCCCAGTAAACTCTCTCTAATTATTACTCTCGTTTCTCTTTCTCTCTCCACTCATTACCCCAAAAAACTTCCTCAAGTCTCAAACCGAACATGGCCATAATGATTTTGAAATAGTTCAGCAAGTGGTTGAAGGTTCCAACAGAGAGTGGGAAAACATGTTAGAAGCATCAAAAGCCCAGAGAGTAGCAAAGAGAGAAAGTAGGGGACCTTTCGTGGCATCTCAAGATCCTCCACTTATCTGCTGGATCAGAATGCCTTTGAACTCAGAATCAAAGCTACTCGATTCACTTGTATTAAAGAACTCTAGCCTACATATATTGTCAGCTAGAAATTGGCAGTTTTAGCAGGATATTTGTGCCAGTTAATCCCCAATCTGCCTCTGCCTTTTGTTTTCTCTTATGTATTTGGAGGCTATGCCCTCCAGGAACTTGTTCTGTAATTTCTTCAACAAAATTCACATCACCAAAAAGGCCTAAATATTGAGTTGGAGCAACAAAGCAGTCTATCGGACAGAGGAAGAGAGAAAGGATCAGTGGAGTACTAAAAGTAAAATTACAGAGCTAAAAGAGGACATAATCTCAGATGTCTTCCAATGGTATGCAGAGTGACTAATACCTTCTATACATAGAACGTGAACACATGCCCATGACACAAACCCATAGTATATTTAAGATTTTGTGCGTAGGTTTGTCAGAAACTCAGAAGCCAGTTTGTAGGTTATGATTTTGATTGATTCTACTTCTACATGTTCCACAAAGGTCTCTCTCAGCAGGACCAGCCGTAGGCAACTAAATCCACCCCGGACACATGGGTTTGGTTAAACCTTCATCTCTACCTCCTAGCCACACAAAGCATATAGGCACCATCTCTTGGCCTATTCATATGGATGGCACGGTGTAACTACCAAAGTAATAGGCAACATTACATGACCATCACACAGGGTTTTAAACCATGGTATCGGCAAACGTAACAATATCAATGATACGGCCATATATTAGACGATATCGGATCGTAGCGGTCGATACGCAAGTAAATAAAGGCAGCGGAGGTCGAAATCCGTTTCGTAACGGCCAACATTTCAAACCCTGGCATCACATTTAAGCCTTAGAAGATTTGGTGGGGGCCCAGGGCATGCCTTGTGAGACATATCACCTCTGGCTCTAAGTGTCTATATCGTGGTAGGTCAGCATGTACCTACATGAATTTATCCCTTGTTAGCTTTAACTTAAGCATTATTGAGTAGCTTTGGCCGTAAGCCCTAAAGTAACCATGCATGATGACCTAATGACCTCATGCTATCTTCCATGTGAGCAAATTTTGCTATTGGGAAAAAGCAAAGTGGGTACCTTTAGAAACAAATTACTCACTTTCATCTGTGTTTTACACAGATAATGTTTCCTAGCATAGAAAATTTCAATGACTTTGGACACCCAATAATCCCCGTAGCAACAAGATAATCTTTATAAACAACCAGCAACCGAAAGATTTAGCAGTGCTCTTGAAAATAAAAACTTACACTGATGTTGCCCTTGCAAAACTGCCCGCCCCATCAGAAGATTTAGCCACAAAAACCATGATAAGTCTCAGTACATCAGCATTCAGATCAGTTATATTCGTCCGCTTCCGCTTCCTATTCTGCCTCATAGTTTCCTGCAGGAAAATTCACAAGCTTATGTAATATGTATGTCGTAAACTACAAAGACAACATCTGTTAATATTAGGGTTCAAATCAAGCTGTGTTATTCCGAAATCATAAGCAACATTGCCATTCAAACAGAGAAGAGATGACAAGTTCATTAATTCCAACGTGACGATGTAAAGAAGGCAAACGTTAAACAGTATGAACAAAAGAATTTTTAATCCCATCATGATTCGTGAGCTACGTGCGGCCTCTTTCTTTTCACGAGCAATATCTTCCTTCTCCTTAAACCACATCGTACCACTTCTGATTTTTCTTTTTTGTGGTAATGTTGGGTGTCTCGGGCCAGTTTGCACGCACCTCGGATTAATCCCTACAGCCCCTCCCACAACCGTTTCACACGCTTACGCTCGGATTAATCCCTACAGCCCCTCCCACAACTGTTTCACATGCTTACGCGTGGGGTTGAGATGGCTCCAAGAGTTGCTGGCAAGGAGAATCGAACCTTAGAGCTTAAGAGGGAGCGAACCCCTAAGTCCCAGGCTAAGACACTTACCAGCCCTTGGGGTTACTTCTGAACTATTAACCCAATACAAAAGAAATCAACTCAATAAAATATGAATTTCTCCCTTTTCTCCTAAGAAAATTAATGACCGAAATCAAAATAACTGCAAATGACTCGAGTCTACTAAAATTTTCAATTCAGAAACAGCACAATTCACACACACACAAAAAACTATAAAAACTATAAAATAAAAATAAAAAAAACATGATTTCCCCCCCTCTTTTCATTACATTTTCCACTGTTTTTCCAAAAACCAAAAGAGAAATACAAATTAGATGCATGCAAAAATGCATTCTTTTGTTGAATGATCATGCGATTGCAAAACGATGTTACCATCGTACCTTATAAGCTTAAGAGATAAATAGGTATAAATTCCCGAGAACAATGATGATTCTTAGAGATCGAGTACCTTTATCGAGGAGGCAGTTAACGGCGGCGATGACGGTGGTCGCGGTGGTGGGAATGGCGGCGAGACCTTTTAAACTCCCGTTTGGAGATCTTTGATTATGGAGTTCTGCCTGCGAAGATTAAACCATTACGTGCGTTTGCACGTGTAAACACCGGAAGCAAATAGATGGGAGCTCTAAACTAAACTAAAATAAAATAAAATAAGTACTTATTTTTTGAATAAAAAGTGATACATTGAGAGATAATGATTTGTTTCGTAAACTGAAAAATAAGCACTTAAAGAATAATAACTTTAGCAGAACGGGGCTAGGGCCGATAAACAAACCCAACAGTCTCAAACAATTACTCCATTGGTAATTATTTAAGTTTGATTTGAAAACTTAACGAGTTTTATGAATTGGTTTCAGAGGAATTGATAGCTCTGGGAGGTTTCGAACATAAGAGCTTAACAGAGAGCAAACCTCTAAGACGTAGGCCTTGACCCAGGTTAAATGAGGTCCCCGCTGGTGGACGATGAGATTAGTCCCGCATGATTAGTCGAGATGCGTGTAAGCTGGCTCGGGCACTTAATTATCCGATAAGTAAAAACATATTAAGTTAAATTTGTTTATGAGACAAATCGATCTCAAACGAGTTTTAATCGAGTCAACTGTGAGCCGATCTCGAGAATCTTGAATAGAGTAAAAAAAGCCGAGTATTAACTTATTCAAGTAAAGCCCAACGGGTTACAATGTTGGGTTACGAGCTACAATGATGCGTAAATTGTAGTTTACCATAATAAAACTGGACCAGACTGGATGGAGTCCAAAACTAGACGGGATCTCTCCCCAACAAAAAAAAAAGACCTTGTCCAAATGTTGTGGTACTTTGCTAGACAGTACAGTTCTCACAATATATGGTTGTCGTATTTTAGAACCTCTCTTCGGTATTTGCATGAATATTTTCTTCCTCTCTTGGGTCATATACATAACTTCATGAATTGTAGAACTTAAAATTACTAATTTTCTTCATCTTTTGAATATTACTAGTAATTTTTTCCCTGTGACAAATGCAGTTTGGTTTGTGTTAAATATAAGCCCTTTAAGTAAACACAAATTGCTTTGTTACTACTAAATAATATTGCAACAAGAATTTCAAAGTCAACTTTGTCAAACAGGTTTTCCTCCTATCGGGTGACGATAGGGCGGATATCATAGCTCAAATAATAATTCAAATCGCAACACAAAAGGGGATGTAGCTCAAATGGTTAGAGCGCTTGCTTACGCGAGATGCTTGGGGTTCAAGCCCCCACATGGGGTTCAATTCCCCGCATCCTCATATAATACTTGAATCTTTTCCCTTGTTTTTGCCAAAGAGAAATTGCTTGAAAACAATTTAACTCATCACATCTAAGGGAACAACATGTTGATTAAATCCAGGTGAATCGCATCTTTCCCCGATTCTCAACCGTGGATTATCATGCTTTTTTTTTCGGGGTCTCATATTTTCCGAAAAATGAACAAAATTCTCCTTGAACTATTGAATCCAGGAAGGAAACACAATACAGATCATTATATGGCCATCTACACCAGAACCATTTTCGAATTGCTCAAGACACTCTTTCATTCCTACAAGTACCACATGTTTCTGACATCCCAAAATGAACAAAGGCAGAGTTTGCTGCTTAAAAATACGCAAAATACATTGCTAAACGAATACCACAGCTTTTCGTAGAATACGTACACAGTCACTGTATCGGCAGGTGTCATTTATTTGCCTCCCACCTAGGAAGCTTTATTTATTTTTATCGGCACCTAGGAAGCTTTATTGAATCTAACATGAAAGCCTAATATGGAACCTTGTTTCGATGATTATAAGCTGGGAATCTCCTGCATCTGACCTTATACATTAAATTAATTCCTAAGCCGAATATGGAATCTTCAAGGCCATTCTTTGGGCTAGCCAAGGCCTTTGGAAATCTGGGTCGATAAAAGAGTGCTTGAGGAACTGTTCTGCTTCTTCATCCACTAGTTCCCTCGCCCAGGTCGCCCGTTTCGATGGGCAACTACCAGGCCCAAAACACCTGCAGTATTTTGCAAAAACCCACCCAAATAATCTCTATCTGAAATAAACAAGGCGAAACAACTATAATTTGAAAGTTTTAAACAATTTTCTCTTTCTCTATTCTCATTCTAATATTTTCCCTTCTGTTTAGCATTCTGGGGTTGAAGTATGCGCTTGTGTGTCTTGGCGAGTGCATGCATGAGAGGGACATATAAGTAGGACTACCTCAGGGTCCATTGCAAACTATCAAAAGGGAGAGATGAAAGACTTCAGGCTCAATTGCAATAGTTTCACCAGGAACCTCAAGCTAATTCAATTGTAGGAGACCAAACTGGGAAAAAAATTATTCCTCCTAAATTTTCAAAATTCCAACACTCTTCGGCTCCATTGCCAAGAAGAAACCCATATTTTGTATGAATTCATTCCAGATGAGAAATGCAAACTAAAAAAAAAAAAGAGAAAAAAAGAGAGAAGTAATCCATTTTCCAACTGCGAAAGACAACACGCCCCCAGGGCACTAACCCTGTCAGCAGTGTTAAATAAGTAACTTTTAAGATAAGTTTTGAAAGTCATTACCTTGTATATGTACGTTATAAAGTTTATTTCAATTTTATCATAAAGTCGCAGATATTTCCAGGAAGGGCTGAACATGAAGTACCTGTACTCGTAAAAGCAAGCGCTTCTCTCATTCTCAGGTTTGTCCCAGTTATGCCAACCAACATGTTTGATACACGCATCCATCCATGTGTATGCAAAAACTACCCTTCCAAATGGACCCCACGGCCGTCCAAGATAGGTGCATAATGTCCCTCCATTTCCAGTGATCACACATCTGGATTCATATGACAAACAGTAAAATTATACATGTGAAATCATTTGGCGCTGTTTAGGGAAAGCAATAAAGAACGAGGGAATCACAAATGTTATAGTCCACTCTCTTTCTTATAATCACACTGTCCAAAGAAGATTGAATGCATAAGCTGCCCATAAGTTCAAGAGAACGATTCCACTCTTTTCAACCAGAGATGAATTAACAGGAGAAAACAATATCAAATTTCTAGGAGAATTATTTTTATTATTAGATAGAAAGAGAGAAGTTAATAAATCTTGTTATGCTCCCAAATGTAAGACAAGTAGACAACAATAAACATGCATTTACCAAGAGAAATATTGTTTCAACATTCTGCTCTTTCTAGAGGTCCCAATTTCTCTATCCCATCCCAAAAATAAGTTTCATGTTTGTATTCACGAGCAGCTATGTAGCACGGATACATACACGGACACGGGATTTCATTAAAAAATAGAGACAAAGACACGGTGGGGGACACGACAAAAATAAATAAAGAATGATTATTTTATACCAATGGAAATATAGTTATATGTAGAAGCATGAAGCATCAAATATATATCACCATGCATCATATATACATCACATACAAAATCATATTACACTTTTAACTCAATATATTTGAATTAATACAAATATTAACCCTTGACGTGTCTCTATACGTGTCCCTCCCCCTAAAAAAATTAATTGAATTTAATGGACACGCCACGTGGCGTATGTCATGTATCCCATACGTTTTTTGCTGTGTCCCCGTGACACGGGGACACGCCGGGCTCTAGGAGTGTCGGTGTTCCATAGACAAACAGTTTGACTAAAGGTTTTGTGCTTTCTACTGCAACATTACTCCCTATACTAAAAACCTGGGATCACCTATGCAGACCAATTAGGCCCGATGAACAATATCAAATAGTATTTATTTACTTACATATGGTAAGAGAGCTGAGAAGTTATAAATTACCAAAATTACTTTCTTTGAAGCAAATACAATAGTAGGAATGAAAGCACACACGTGGCTGTAACAAACATAACCGTTGACAGTTAAGTACTTACGATTTATCGGAAAAGAAACTAAGCACAATGCAAGGTCCCAAATGTTCACCATTAATTGAGAATTAAAGCACCCCATCTGGGTTTAAACTAAATTTGACACCAAGAATGGCTAATGATCCACCTTAAGAACACATAGCCAGTTGTCTCTTGAGAAGATTTCCTACTTTGTGCAGTTACGAATCCAGCGGACTTGCAATGAATATGACAGTGCTCCATAAGAGCAGTGCTATTCCCAAAAATGAAGTCCACGCTTCCTTCAATATAGCAATCTTTTAAATACTGTTTTCCATAATGCAAATACAGGGTATCCTGCACACAAAAAAATGTGAAAAAGTACAGAATAAGTTCTTTAGTCATTGAGAAACGTGTTATATCCATGAGTTTTGTCTCTATGCTGTCAAGCTAGTTATGCAAGCGTCACTGATCAATACAACTGCAAATTGAGATACCACTTCGCAAAAAATTGACACTAGTTTTTTCAAATGATATATTGCTTGATTGAGGCAATTAGCCAAATATGTTCTGCATGATGTGAATGTGATGTTGGTAAGGACATAGAAACACCCTTTCCGGAAGGCAACACATATTCCTGCAATCAAACTTCTAAATATTTTACAAGATGAAGTCCTTGTGCTACCTAATTATGGGGTTATTGGATATACAACAAGATGGTAAGCATACCTGCCAACCCAGAAATCTGCAATTATAGAATGCGCAGCGATCAGCTGTTACCCTAATTGCCACAGCTTGGCCTGAACCCTGTGCAAAAACTCCATCAAATTATTAATTAACAGAGCTTCAATTAATGCCTTGAGTACTCGACTAAAAAACCTCCCCCAGAGACTACAAGTCTACAAATCACACCATGCTTTTCTGAAGTTGAGATTCTATTCACTGTACAGCAACAATACGCCAACTATAAATTGAAATTCATATAGCATAACAGATAAGCAACACATAACATAATGTGAATATCAAAATACCAAGAAACAAAAGGTCCACTGGAAATTTGGCAGAGTGCAACATCCATGTCAATCATAATCACAGTACGGGACACAGTAGTGATAGGAGTAACTTCAAATTTGAGTTCTATCGGCTACAATAAATCTGCAATGTTATTCAATCAATGAAAACATTACTCAGATAACCCATTACAGATTCTCTCTCCCGTATCTAACTCCGTATCATTTCTCTATTGTAGCTTCAAATTACACTAACTTTACCGCTTAATTAACAACAGCTCAAGAAGCTCATTAACAAATCCGAATGCGCCAGAACCAACAAACCCAAACCCAGAAAAACATTCACACAAATGTCTATTAGCACTTAAAGCAGTAACTCAATTACCTGGGGAGCAGAGTTCTCAAATGTCACATTCTCAGCAATAAAATCTTCTCCTTCCACAATTACACTCCCACACCCAAAAGTTCCAGTTCCAATCACACGAGACGTCTGATAAACCACCACCGAACCCAATCAAAAACCCTAAATTTAACTGTTTGAGTTACAGCAAGTCCACCCATTGCCATTTAGGGTGCCAAAGCCATAATTTGGCAACTTTATTTTTTAGCAAATTCCAAGTCCACCCATTGCCATCTGTATCTTTGATGCCAAATTTTGGCGCCAAGTCCAAGCCATTTGATTTCGATTGAAAAACGAGACGAGTCTAAACCAACGGTCTTGATTTGAGATTGTGCTAAAATGGCACCAAACCAGTATGCGAGCATCACTACTCCCTCCGTCCCCATTATTTTGTCCCTCATCCTATCCCAACCGGATAAAAAATAATTGGTAATACTATTTATATGCAATATGGATCTTGTTTGATAGATCTCAATGAGCTCTTTTAAATGATGTTTTCATAATCACCTAAAAGATTATAGATTGTAAGATAGTATAATCAATTGAAAAGTGGCACGAACTCGGACTAAAGAATTGGGACGGAGGGAGTATTTTATTTGACTTTTTGCCACCATAGCATATCAAAAAATGGCTTTGGCATGGCTTTAATTGTGCTTCCCACAAGTGGACGGTGGGATTGGTCTAGGATTAGTCAAGGTGCGTTTAAGCTGGCCAGGACACCTGAGTTATAAACAAAAAATGTCTTTGGCATAGTCGTCTTGGCACCAACGAGTGGACTTGCTCTTACAGAATCTATCAAATAAGTGTAAACATTCAGTTGTTTAATTAGATACATGTTGTACGTATGTATACCTGGTGGTGGTCAATTTTGGAGGCGGTGTTGTTCCAGGTGAGGACGGTGCCCTCTGGAGACAGTCCGGCGAGGGTTATGAAGTTCTTGGTCTTGGGAACGTACACCGGCTGCTTGTACACCCCCGGTGACAGTCGAATCACCGTGCGACATGTGTTGCTGAGC